ATTACCTATTACGAGATGTTAAGGCTCAGCGTTGAAAAATTGTACAATTAATTTATATAAACTACCTCGTTCAGCTGTAAACATTTGCCCCACTCGATGAGAGTGATTTTATGGTCGTCGTCACGATCGCAGGAGTCGAGGAACGGCGCGATACAATGCTCGAGGGTCATCAAAGGTGCTTTAATGGGGAAAAGTTCGTGCCTGGAAACAGTCCTGTCATGGGGCTCGCCGTCCAAGTCGCACCATTTCCAAATGGCGGCGTTGGTCCAACGCAACGTATGATTTGTTTCCGCTTCCCGTTGCATCTTCAGGAAGTGCGATGACAATTCCTGACGATCGGCAAGATCTCTCATGATGTTGAACAGCCAGTCTCGCATTCGCCTCGGGAAGTCAGCCATATCTTCATCTTTGCACTCCTGCAAAGCAACAGGGTTAAAAGGAATTGATCCGCTTGCAACTTCTCGATGAAAATATTTCGCTCGTAAATTTTCAAATTTTAACATTCACGAAGCTACACGGAGATTTATGTAATAATGTTTTCATAACAGCTAAGGCCACGAACAGCTACTTAATAATATGGGTGATTGAGCAATCCAACTAAATAAACAATGTTTCAAGAACAGAAGGGAATCGTAGATGTATAAAACTGCAGCAAATCCATTTCCATAATAGAACGACAGATAAGATATGACACTTGCTACGAATAGCGTACCATTAATATCAGTCAATGATAACTACAACTTTATCAATCATGATCGTTAAGTTTCATGAACATCGAGCTTCGTCGATGAACATACGGCGAATATCGCGAATATTGTTACGAGTTTGCTCCTCGTGTTATATCCTTCGGACGAATAGCTCATCATACTGAAATAGCTCATCGATGATAATGATGATGATGATAAGCAATAAGTAGATACTTACAGGCATCTCTCGGCATTCGCCATAGTACACAACGTGAACGTGTTGATATTTATGGCTTCTACATCTGGCGTCGCCATTGTTACAGAAACAACGCATCTGCTGGACCTCGCAGTCACTCCCGAAAGTTTCATTGTGATTAGTGCAAACCTTTCGTCTAGGATCGACTTCCTCGTCGCATACGTCAACGCAAACACACTCGGCAGTGTCGTCGTCGATTGCCTGAAACGATCGTGGTGGTTTTATAACTTTCGAGGGGATTCTCTCGTTTCATGTAGAGAAACGAATGACGAACTCTCTAAGCCAAGTTTTATTCAAAAACTTTTGGATAAAACAGTCTTGGAAGTTCTGCGGATTCTGAGATCGGTATCGAGACACGAGTTCACGAACAATATACATATTCAAAGAAAATCTTACATTCTTGTTATATTCCTACGAAACCTAAAGAAATTAAACCACTCTGTACTTTTCCAGCACTTATGGTAAATGGTAAAAAAGTGTAAACGATGACTTAGGTCTTTGGTAATGGCAAAAGTGCGTAGTTCAAGGTTATACGCATCGTCGTACATAATAATGGGCATATAATTTTGTTTGTCTCTGACAAACCTTGCAAACTCGTCCTGCGTCACAGTGTTTATCTATGCACGGATCCATACGGAGCAAGCCCTGACGCTTCGATCCAACCTCGTTTCTGCCATCTTTGACGGTGACCTCAGCATCCTCCGCTGGCTCGGCTATTTCATCAGCCTCAAGCATGTTCATGACCTCATCTTCAACAGGAGCTTGCGTCGTCGTTGTGTAACGACGATGCTTTCTGCGCTAAAAGTCGATAATCGTAACGGATTACGCGTGTTGCTAATTCATTTCGCGTTTCGAGGAAAGATAGAAGTGAAAGATAGAAGAACTGCGTGGAACCGTCTGTAAATAAGTTTCAACTTCGTCGATGAAACTCGCGTTCAATGACACAGGATCGAAGTAACTCAAACGACTCAAGCTATTATATATATTATATATTTAATATTCTTCTGATCTATTTGTCTTCTGATTAACTTACGCGTTGGATCGCACCGTCCACCAGAAGGGACACTAACAGCAACGCAAACAGAAGGAGCTGCAGTTTCGTCTGCATTGCGATCTCTGCGACAGACAATCGATCGTTAAATATGTGCGTATGAACTTAAAATAGTACGCCTAGTCCTTTCTTTTTTTCTTTTTTTTCCTTTTTCTTTTTCTTATTTTCTAACACGCAGAACACGAGCGAGTGGCAGGCGTCTGTTATAGTCGCAACGGTTTGTTACTCCCAAACGCGATCGAAGCAGAGCTTTCGATTGAAGATCGTTCACGGCGGTTTTATTTAAAAGAAAAACATTTCCAATAATATACGACGCGCATGAACAACGTGGCCGATCCCACTCGGGATCAACGTGACCAACGATAAATCTCCGAGACCTTAATAGGAGCAACGAAGCGATAACCCAGATACTTGGAAATCACGATTCTTTACGAATGTCCGTAATAAACTCGAGTGCGTACCGCTACGAGCGTGCGATTCTTTTCTTCAACGCTCGTAAATATATCTTGCGGATGGCAAAACCTTTATTACTTTGAATTGACAAGGAGAAACGAAGGTCGCGTTGAACTCATCGACGCCCACTACCATTTGAAGGATTCTTCGTTTGATTTTTCGCAATCTCAAAGGAACATTCCTCTTCGTTCTTTCAAATTAATCTTCCTAGGATTTGCAGAATTATCTCGCGATTGCTTTTAACTTGGAAAGCATTTGCCAGAGCACTGTCTTACAAAAATGGTAACAAAATTATTTGCAAACTGTGCGGGCTAACCAGTTTTAGGTATAAAGAACACGATCTTCTAAATTTGTATTTCAAATTACACAGATATACGTAAGCAGAAATGGAAATTATATGCTGTGTCAATTCTTCATTGAAATCGAATTCTCGTATTCCCCGAAAGGATACATTAGATCACTCTTTTTAAAGGGGTTATGATAAGAGATACTTTTAAAATACGATCGTGGTTCTTGCACGATGATTTACCAGTCAGAAATTAAAACACATTTCCCTAGCTTCCTGGCCGGCTAACCGGCTAAATATAGCTTGGTTTATGCGTAAAGTCCATTCGGTTTGATTACATTTACAGCGTGAAATTTCCGTTAAACGGAATCGTTAAACAGTGCTATGATTACACGCGTTACGTCAGCGTTTTTTTCTTTTTTTTTCTTTTCTCAAATAAAGTTCTCAATCCAGATTTTATACACAATATATTACACGACTATCGTTAAAAGAAATTATCATTTCGAGGAAACTGAGAAAACAAGCGAAATATTATCTCGGAAAATGACAAAACGCTAAATTGGACAGTTAAACTAATTGTACGATGTAATTCTTTTTGTTTTTGTACATGTTCTACGCAGGAAGCTTTAATTCCACGAAAGAAACACGTATCGCTACTTCCTTTCTACGAAATCGCGTTAACCCTAGAACATAACTGCACCTTGCGTATCGTGCGAGTGTTTGGACGAGATGATTTACTTCTGGAAATAACGAGGAAGAATTTCGTGGATCTATTTCACAAAAAAAAAAAAAAAAAAAAAAAAAAAAA